CCGCTGTCGATGTGCTGCTTGACAGAACGGAGCCTTTCGTAATGAGGCGATGAGATTTTTGTCCAAGATGTCGCAACCCTTGACACAACCTAAACTTCTCAACCTCAGACTGACTCTGTGACTGTCTCTCTCTGTCTGTGTGATCAGAGGGCAGTCCCACTCAGACAGCCCCAACGTCGTAAGGAACGCCAGCATCAAGCGTGAGAACTTGGAGCTGCTGGAAGCCGCGCCTGATCAGGAGGACACAGGTTCGAAAAGCGCAGGGCGAAAGACTTTCGAATTTTAGGATCAGGGGATTGGGGGGGGGGGGGGGGGGGGCTTGAGCGACAACCAAGTTGCAGACTGACAGGAGCCGGACGTCATGGACAAAGGCGATGAGGAGGCCGTCGGAGCTCGAGATGTCTAGGGCCTGACCTACGGTGAAGAATAAAGGGCGCTCGGGTTAGGGTGCAGGATATGTGAACTTGTATGGTTGGAACCCAGCTCGTCGCAACTCGGATGATTACACACTCAGCCTGGAGTCTTGCGCTTATCGTGTCTCTGTCTCGGCAGGCCCTTGTTGCCTATACTTATCATGCGAAGATCTGGCAACTTGTTCGCGTAGCCTCAGCTGGACCTCCAGGACAGCCTTGCCCAGAGACCCCCGAGACAGGGAGCCGCAGCTCGGAAAACCCCAAGTACCGTAGGCACTGAGGGCATTCCTTGCTGAAACCCTAGGCTTTAAATGCCCGACCTGAATCTCAGAACTCAAACCCGAAACCACATACCCTCAACCCCAAACCTCAAATCCCCAAGTTCAACCCACAAACTCTAAACTAACCCCATAGACCCCCAAACCCCAAGAACAACCAGCTCACGTCGAGGCTTTGGCTCCGCCCGAAGATGTCTTCGAGGGACTGGAGGCGCCGTTAAAGGAAGCCTTCAATGGCCACCGAAAAAACCCGAGCCCTTGAAGGACCCCTTTACAGCAACAGAACGCTGAGAGGAACGAGGGCTATTTCTGCATTCAGGAAGATCAAGTATTTCCGTAACGAGCCGTTGAAAGAGAGCCTTAAGATAAAGAGCCAACGAACAGGCAGCCTGAACCCTNNAACCCTAAACCCTAAACCCAACTGATGCTTTCAACCAAGAGGAGCTTGTACAAGAGAAGGAGCCTGCCAAAACCACAGCCCCAAACCCTGAACCCTTAGTCCCGACCCGAACCCTGAAGCCGTTGAGTCCTAAACTTACACTATCGGTGATTACAACTTTCGACACCCTGCAGACCCCCAAACCCTACACCTTCAAAGCAGACCCAAACGAGCTTTGAACAACTGTTTTGTTGTTCTTATTATTGCTTATCCTTATTATTGTCGTTGTTACTTTTCTTCTTTTATTCTTTACATCAAAAAAGCGGCAAAAAAAGCAGGTCGGACCGGAAATCCCCGAGCCCGAGCCGGCTCCTGGAAAGTTCGCCGCTCTCGAAGCTCGGGCTGCTTTTCGGAGCTTTTGTTTGTTTGTTGATTTCAGGGCTGTTTGTGTGAATAGGGGGTATGTTTTTTTGTTTTTAGGGTTCAGGGGTGACTGGGGGTTAGGGGTTTCGATTCCTGGAGCCTGGCAGTGTCTTGCCAAGGATATGAACGAGCTTCAAGCAGCGATCCTTCAGGCACCAGACTTCTGCCATGGAGCTGGGCCTAAACCGCTGCCACGCTTTCACCATGAAGATATAAGCATGTAAGTCCGTAACCTCGCAAACGAAGCACCCGTAACGCCGTGATGAAATAGGCTGAGCCTACAAGCATTTCGGTCTCGGGGTTCGTTAACTTCCAAGCTTTTCATTGAGCCCACCCTTGAACCCTCGACCGCGAAGCTTGAACCTTCAACTCCAAGCCCCGCAAGTCTCTCTCCGTGCATATACCTATCTATCCATCTCTTTCTCTTTCTCTTTCTCCCTCTCTCTCTCTCTCTGTCTCTGTCTCTGTCTCTGTCTCTCTCTCTCTCTCTGTCTCTGTCTCTGTCTCTTTCTCTTTCTCTTTCTCTTTCTCTTTCTCTTTCTCCCTCTCTCTCTCTATATATAT